CATGTGCTGTTAGCCACCAGAAGAGCTAGTTAAGGAAGACGAGGGGGCGGCGGCGGGTGAATGGGGCACTAGATAAAGCAGCACAGTGCTGTGTGGTTAAACCATAAAGCTCCTCTCTCCAGGACTTCATGAGTGGGGCAAAGTGGGAGGCCCAGAAGGATATGGTTCCTTATTCCCAAAAGGTTGTCCTGATAGCTAAAACATACCCATTAAAACACTCAGTAGGAACAAAGTTTTGGGGGAAACCGCAGGCTTTCTTGGCCACATCCAGAACTGTTTTAATTGAGACGGGACGTATAACGTCTCATGGTAATACACCCTTGTCCCCGGTTCTTGCTTCAGACCTTTAATTACGTCTTTCAGCTGTGGCCATTTATTTCACTCGGCACAGTGAGAACAAAAAGACAGAGTTCATGCTCATATCGCAAAGATTCAGAGCATTTAATCACATATCGATGTCTGATAAAGATACACATCCCCTCATCGCTTTCCCAGATTGGACTGAAAACACTCCAGTTGTCATTTGACAGGTCAATTCCTGCTCTCTAGTTTCACTCGTGGTGTATTTGCACGTCTGTCTGCTGTGCACAGAGGAAAATATCACGATGGAAACTCAGATGAGATGTTAAGACTATTAGTGGAGGACGATGAAACCCAGTCGGACCTACTGACAGCAGTCTGAGCCTCGCTTTCTTGTCTTTAATGGAGCACGAGTATCAGAACCACATGTTCTTCTGTGGTTCTCAACTGCGTGTTTAAACACCTTGTTTGGGTCAAACCTCTGTTCCACAATGACTACAGGAATAAAGTGCACTTGTTCGTAGTGTCATTTAAGTGCACACGCTGTCTGATTCACTGAAGAAATTATGCTGGAAATTACTGACGGTTAGTATTTGCACAGATAACTGCAATCTGTACATAATAACTTGACAAACACAATGCTGAAAGAAATCCACAAACTCTTTTACTGGACTACAGGCACTGCTGCCACAATCACCAAAAAAATCTACATTATTTCTCTTACCAGCATTTTTAGAGTTGAAGTAACTGAATTACATTATTATTGTTCAATACATTTCCATTTTTTAGTTATAATTCAAATAATATGGTAAAAGTATTATTATAGCATGGTATATGGTAAAAAATAATATGGTTTTGATATATAATATGTTAAAATTGGTTAAAATGTTAAACATTGGTTTAAATAAATAAATAAATAAATAAATGGAAACTGGATCAAATGAACTAAAGTGGACTAAAAAGAGATGAGTCTATTTTCAAATCCAGGGACATTGTAAATTAATATAAATAAATAATTAATTAAATAAAAATTAAATTTCAATTTCAATTCAATTTCACTCAATTACGAGAAATATATTATTTTTGTACAATTCATTTTCAATTTATTAAGAATTATATTAGAATTAAATATGGCGTGGTATATGGTAAAACTAATATGTTATGAAATATAATCTGGAAAAATGGTCTTGATTAAATAACATAATAATAATAATGTAAATAAAACAAATATAAATTAAAAAAAATGAATATATATAAATATATATATATATATATATATGTGTGTATGTATGTGTGTGTGTGTGTGTGTGTGTATTAGGGCTGTCACAATATTAGATTTTACACACCACGGTTATTGTGGCCAAAATAATTCATGATATCGATGTATCGTGATATCTATAGAAACCTTGGGGAATCAGTCAAATTCAGTTAATTCAGTTTTAATGTGCGTCTAGAACGGCTGCAGATGAGGCATTAAGTGCATGGCACTGCGACCAACGTAACATTTTACAGAGTTTAATGTAGCAATGTAGTCGCTCAGTTTTTCTAGATGTTTTAATCGTGTAATAGATTTGAACAAAGAAATCAAGTGCTACGCACATGTATTGGCCATGACTTGATTGCAAATACGACTTGTATAACTCACCATCTGTATAATATTGAACATTGTTCTTCTCGGAGTAGCGCGGTCGTGCGCTTCGTGCGCTGCG